CGTTCCAGGCCTGGAACGGACGGTCCGACTTACGGGCAGTTTTCGGTTTTCGCGTTTTAAGGGTTTTGGGCAATCCTAATTAATATGAGAGCCGCCACAAACCCTAAAATAAGAACCTCAGACGTCCTAGATTCTGATGAGAGCTTAGAGAAGCTTGATTTTGAGTTATAGAGATTGGAATATCGATTCCAAGTCAAGGACATCGGTTTTCTCTTCACAAATCCTAGCAAATACGTTCCAAAGCGTTGGAATTCATCCCGCCGGTGTGGATACGTGTAGAGGAGTTGTGCTTTCAACTCTCGGTGATTAAAACAGGCCCTGGATCGATTGATACTTCCAGATCTTGAAAGAACGAGGTAAGTATTCGAATCTCACGACGATATACACGATTGTTTGGGTTATTACACAATTGGTTTTGTGTGACGTTTGGCTAGGTTTAGATCTTTCCTTCCGCTGCGTGAAACCTAGAATCCAAACCCTAGATCGATGAGATCGCATGCTAGGAACCCGAAGGAAACCCAACAGTCGGAGATTCTGATCGAGAGTGAATTCCACAGTTTCGTCTCCAATTTTTATTGTCAACCTTCCCGCTCTAACATGAACTATGGCGTCTGCGGTACTTAGAAAGGGTCGACCAAGAATAATCGGAACTTTGGAGTCTTCATCCATATCCAATACCACGAAATCAACCGGAACGTAAAATCCACCAATCTTCAGGGGTACATCTTCCACTATCCCCGCTGGATACTTGATCGAACGATCCGCTAACTGTAGAGCCATTCTTGTTGGTTTCAATTCCCCTATATTCAGCTTCTTGTAGATCGATAAGGGCATAAGACTTACACTCGCTCCCAGATCGCATAGAGCTCGATCTATCTCAATGTTGCCCAAGTTGCAAGGTATGGAGAAGTTTCCCGGATCCGACATCTTCGGAGGGAGCTCGTGTCTTGTAATGGCGGCACTGATTTCAGTGCTTAAGGCCACCGTTTCCTTTTCTACCACTCGCTTCTTAGTCAAAATATCCTTTAGAAACTTTGCATAGGAAGGCATTTGGAGAATCGCTTCATGGAATGGCATCGTAATCTCCATCTTTTTCAGCATCTCCGCAAACTTTCCAAACTGAGCTTTCTTCATTGAACTTTTTCAAACGAGAGGGAAAAGGGATTGGGGGTACCTTAGGTGGTGGAGGAATGTAGTCCGGCTCCTTTTCCTGGGTGTTGATCGTGGAGTCGCTTTCTTCCACCGCTTTGCCTTTCTCTTCCCTCGTTAGCCTTGGTGTTGGTGCTTTTTCGCTCATGGGTGGACCGATTTCCGGGAGTTGCTTTCCACTTCTCAACTCCACTGCATTAATGTGCTCTCGAGGGTTCACTTCAATCTTTCCCGGAAGAGTACCTTGTTGTCTCGACGAGGAAGATGAGAGTTGTGCCACTTGGTTGTCCAAAATCTTTAAATGAGCTTGTACTCCTTCCAATTGCTTTTTGAATACAATTTGCTCATTCTCGATGTTTCCGATAGATATTCCTTGTGACTTTTTCCCTTGGAGAATTTGCATCAGCATGTCCTTGATCTCGGGATCTTGATCTTTTGTTTGCTCTTGTTGTTGTCTATAGTTCGATGTTCCTTGATAACCTTGGTTTCCTTGGACTTGTTGCTGGAACTTAGATTGAAACCCCGGGGGTCCTTGGTTGCTCCGTTGAAATGTCGATTGCGGGTTCATTGCATTTGTTTGGTTCTTGTAGGAGAAGTTTGGGTGGTTCCTTAACCCAGGATGGTATAGGTTGGAAGGGTGGTTGTATTGGTTTGGACCAACATAATTGGCTTCCTCCGCTTCTTGATTGACCAAATACATCCCCGGTTGGATTTGTGCTGAACTTGGCTCCTCTATAGCTGCTACTTGCTTACTATTTGCAAGTTGTATCCGTATCTCAACAAGTTCAGATAACACCGCCTTGAGTGCTGCTCCTTCTCCCGCATCTCCCTTTGTTGAGCCCCTCCTACTGAACTCATTTGATGTATGGCCTCGTCCTTTGGCCAACTTTGCAATTGTTGCTTCTAGTTCTTGAAAAGGGATGTCATAGATGTCACCCCCACATGCCGCATCGATCCATGATCGAGTGTCATCCTTTAATCCATGAATGAAGATAGATAGGAGGTAATCTCGTTCCATTCCATGGTGAGGGCACATCCTTTGGTATTCTTTAAATTGTTCCCATGCATCATGAAGATTCTCCTCATCCTCTTGTATAAAAGTATTGATCCGATTCCTTGCGTGTTGAGTTTTGGTGGGTGAATAGTATTGCATAAGGAACTGCTCCTCCATCTCGTCCCGAGATGAAATGGAGTTTGGCTCAAGAGTGTAGAGCCAATCTCTTGCTCTCTCCATGAGTGAGTATGGGAAAGCCTCAAGGAGCACATCTTCCGTGGTGATTCCCGGCCCTTTCTTTATCGCCTTACAATTCATCTTGAAATTGGTAAGGTGAGCATTTGGATCCTCATTGGGCCTACCCCGGAAACTCATGTTGTTGAGCATTTGGATGCATTGTGGTTGGAGTTCAAAGTCCTCCAACGGCTCCTTGTTAATGCAAGAGAGTAGTTGAGTGTGCTTCGGTTGTGTGTACGTTCGAAGCGTTCTAGGGGCTGCTTGGGCTGGTTGTTCCCTTCGAGCATTGTTCTCTCTCAACAAATCTTCAGTCATTTTCCACTGTCTTTGTTGCTTCCGAGTAAAACATACAGTCCTCTCAATTTCTGAATCAAATAGAAGTTGATCCTTGTCGGTTGTGCTTCTTGTCATACACCGAGAGATCTACACGCAGAGAAAAGTGAAAAGAAAACTAGCCAAAGGTGAGAAAAGATCGTAACACTAAGAGATCCCAAGTAGAAACCCAAGCAATGACCTAGCAAAAACTTAGACTAACACGAAAAACGCCCAGTCCCCGGCAACGGCGCCAAAAACTTGATGCGCACGCACCGAGTTCTAAATTTGTAACCCGATTCGTACCACTATCCGCAAGTATACGGTAGTTGTAGTAACGGGGTCGATCACGAGGACTAGGTTGTGTTAATCCATTCTTAAACTAGATCAAAGGTGATGGAAAATATTGATTGCAAGGCGTTTGTGAAAATGTAAATATGAAATGAGGGTCAAATGAGCAAACGAAACTTGTGTGGTGAAAACGATTGGTCACGAGTGTTGTGGGTTCGGGGTCCCTTTGACGGGTATGGATGCTCAAAATGTGATGGCAATCATGATGATCATTTCTAATTGGGGATTTCAAGGCTCTTTGTGTAAGATCTTTCTCTCTCAAGCTTAGATCTACTATCTAGAAAATCAACTACCCATCTCTCGATGATCTAGAGGACTCCTAGATGCATTAACAACCCCTATCATAAATCCTAAACAAGTCAAACCATCTCTCAATGTGAATGCTTTGTTCATTTGATGTCTAGGTCAAAACACCATTCTCATATATCTATGATCAATGTTGTTCTAAAATCATTCAATCAAGATTTTGCCAAGATCAAAAGCATGAAGGTCAAGACATCAAACCAATAGAAATAACTAAAAGAGTACCATAGATTGAAACCCAACATCCATACAAAAAGGGGGACCCTTCCCCCACAGCTAGGGTTCTACTCCATACTCAAAGGAAGAAAACAAGAAGAAACAAAGGAGAACATGATAGAGAAGAGAAAGGAATGCTTAGATTGGTCTTCAATGGTGATGATCACTTCTCTTCTTCTCCAAGTCTCCCAAGCTCCAAGTTTTTCCCCAAAGTCCTTCTCCCTTTTTTCAAATGGCCAAAAGATCTCTTTTTTCTTTCCCTCTTTCCTCTTTTGTTCAGCAAACCCTAGGGCTTTCTTCTTTCTCACTAATGGGCTTGGAAATGATCCAAAACAACAAATGAATTTCGTCAGACAGAAATGGGCAGTCTCTTTGTATTTCAGGGCGGGAGCCCGAATATGCTTCACATTTTCGGGCGGTCGACAGAACTTATGGGCGGCCCTCCTGAATTTTCTGTTAAATCTCGAGGCTTCTATCACTTTAGGGCAGCCAGATCGCTTTCTAGGGCGGTAGCCTGTTTTTGCTCTTGTTCCACATTCCGCGTTTTCGTCCGATTTTTCCGTTGTTTTCTCCCGGAGACTTCACTGCATCACCTGATCCTGAAATGGCCAAAACAAGGACCTACTCTACCCCTAGACGATCATATGCACATGAATCCGATGATAAAGATCCCAATCACTCATAAAATTCTCAAGTAAATATGATGTGATCAATTGTGATCTACATCCAACGCGTTGATCACACATCATACTAGTCTTCATTCAACATTGTTCCCACAATGATGACTGACTAGGGAGTTTAGAATCATTCTCTAATGATTCAAGGATGCCGAAATACAACAAACATGCTAATCGTATAACGGATAAATAATGCATTCATAAATCAATGAATCAATACAAAGTCAAATGTCATATCATGGATTATCCTAGAGCATTACAATCAACATGAAGGTCTTCTGGATTCATTTGACTTTGAGTCTCTTGAATCTTGCGATTCTTGTTTGATGGGCAAGATGACAAAGCATCCTTTCAAAGGGAAAGGACAGAGAGCGACAAAATTATTGGATCTGATACATAGTGATGTATGTGGATCAATGAGCTGTCCAGCTAGAGGAGGTTATCTGTATTTCGTTACGTTCACTGATGATTTCAGTCGATGCGGTTATGTCTATTTGATGAGACATAAGTCTGAAAAACTTGAAATGTTCAAGGCTTTCAGAAACGAAGTACAGA